ATATTTCTCTACCCACGATCCAGCCACTCGTCAGAAGCCGCGGGTAAAGTTGCTCTTCGCTGCCCCCTGAACAGTATGAGACATTAAAATGGTGAAGGAAGTTGCTCGAAACAGCTTTGAATTTGTAAGCAAATGTTTTGTAAGCATCAAACATGTCAACCAAAATCAATCAAAAAGAAAAAATTTTTTCAATCAATTTGACAGTTTTTTTTAATTCTGTGTATTCCATTTTGAAAACATTTGTGTTTTTCTGTATTGATTTGCAATTCGAACTCTACTTGTTCTATGTTCTATGAGTGTTTTACAAAATTTTTAGTTTTCAAATTGTGAAGCGAACAGATGAACGCAAACAACAATCAACAGCCAATAATAACCAAAAAATATTTCAGAAATGTTAAGTATTATGGAGCCAGTGGACCACAAATTATAACGAAAAAGTTGATTCACATTATATGGTGATATGTTGGGTCAATTAAAACCTAGACACAACAAAATAACGTCATTGTTAGTCTTTCGAACATTTACATTCCATTTAAATTCCATTCAAATTCCATTCACCTCTCAATCAAACTTTTGAAAACTCGCGCATAAGAATTGCCACATGAACGTAGAACAAACCCAACCCCAAAATGCGACACCTCTATTCGTGAACAACCCCCTCAGAACAATAATACTCCACATAAATTAACGCTCAATCCGCCAAAACTGGATCAATGTTGACATGCTTTACGTAGTCATTTATATGCAAAGACCATGTTTCTAAATGTAAGGGACGCTCTATAAAACATTATGTGCAGAACAAATTTATGCCCTTCCTTCACATTTACATTAATGCTATATATTATCACTTTATCAATAATTATTATATATATATATATATATATATATATATATATATATATATATATATATATATATGCAAATTTCATTGAAATTGTTTGCCCATTTTGCATTAATTAACTTCTTTATAAGACATTCAACGAGGCGGTATTGTTTGAGTTCATATTTATCTAAAAATGGAATAAAGCTAACAGCGCTGTTTCGGCGTAATGCCATCTTCAGAGCCTAAATATTGTTTAAACATATAATTTAATTAAAATAAATGTCTAATGTAAAATGTGAAAATATAGAAAATAAAATATGTATTAAATTGTGAAATAAATTAACCTTGTTGTAAATATCATAATAACTAAAGTTTATGTAGATTATATAAATAAAATAATGTAATTTAAATAAAATGTTTAGTAAAATAATTAAAATATAGAAATTTTATAAAAGTTTTAACATGGTTGAAAAACGTTAGTGAAAACTAATTAAGAATGACATGTGCGCCAGATATATAATATTGCTGTGTATGCGTTGTGAATACAACTATTGCGGTTGAATATGTGTGATACGAGTTTCCACATCAGACCTACGGATACATAGTTAAATATAAATACATATATGTACATGCAAGATACATATCGATGTATAGATCAAATATTAAGTATCACATAATACATCCAACGACGCAATGACGGTTGTCGGATGACGCTGGGTCACAAACTGCGTGTTAATGGGTTGAAATGTATTCAACGTAGAATGATATTCGTATCGTTGTGGTACACGCAGATCCTGTGGATTAACCCCAACGGCAACAGTAGGTGTGAGATCGTGATATTGAGAAAACAATTGCAAAGTGTGATCAAAGCTGTTATATTGTTTATTGAGTGAGGGTTTATGCTTGTTGATATGAAGGGCTTCTTTAATTTTGAGGCGAACTGGATCGGGTTCATATTCAAGGATCGTTGTGTTGGGATCCAATATGTTCCTCGTAAGCGGTTGATGATGTACCTGTTCCATATGGTCCTTAATGGCACCATTCTGTGTATGCATGGTGAGTCTTCTAAAAAGAGTAGTTCTCGTATGGCCGATATAACTCTCCACAACACAGTGTGGCACGGGACAAGAAAATCGGTATACGAGATTGGTTCTCTCTAGTTTGTTGGGGGGACGTGTGTTGTTATTTTTAACGATAAAGCTGGATGTTTGGTTGGTGTTGTAATAAATTATGAACTTCAGTCGGTAGCTTTCGTTGGGAACGGAGACATTGGATTTGATGATACGTTTGAGCATTGATTCATCAACTTTGTAGTTGTCATGCATTTGATTGAGATAATATAGAGGTATAATTGTTTTTGTCGAGGTTGGAGTTATAGGATTATTTGTTTTGTTGATATAATGTTTTATGGTATTATCTATTAATTGGTATTATCTATTAATTAAATGTCAGATAATATATTGTCTATTTGTGTATAATAATCAATTTTGTTGATCAACACATACATATTGGACTTGTCGGACTTGAAAAAGCCCACCTTGAAAATCACTCAACACTTCCACAACTTGACATTCCTCCCACCCTGCTCATCAAACTTCTGAAACTATGTACTGTTGAAACTCCGTTTGTTGCTCCAGACGGTTCTCTCCATTTGCAAATTGATGGTGTTGCAATGGGATCTCCGTTGGGACCGCTGTTCGCTGAATTCTATATGGCCGATCTCGAATCAAGGATATTTGCTGACCCTACCAACAGACCCCCAATATATGCACGCTACGTCGATGACATTTTCATCATTTGCGAAAAGGTCACCGATGTTAGGTTAAAATAATGTCGAAAACGCAGTGATCTTTATAAGTAATTGTATTTATGATAGTCTCAACCCAATATATATATATATATATATATATATATATATATATATATATATATATATATATATATATATATATATATATAAACAACTCAACCAATATGTATATATATATATATATATTATGTAAACATGGAAATATAAATAAATAAATATCAAAGTGTAAATTAACATGTGTCGGTGCATCGGTGACAGTGAGTGCAAGCAGAGAAATTCAGAATGCATTGCGACGATGACGACGACGACTTAAGAATGACAACGCACAAACCACGCGGATCAACAACAAAATCACTTGAAAGACACACACATGAACCACAATGACAGGAGATATCCTGAATGAAAACACTACAGGACACCATTACAACAGAGATCTTTCAAATTATGAATTGCAGAATACTTTTTTATTGACAAAATGAAACATTTCGTTAACATCCAACCAAATCCAGTCAAAACTTCACCAACCAAGTGCCTAATGATCGATAGAAACTTCTAGATGACCAATATAATTAACTTTACGACGAGCCAATGTTATACATTTTATCCACACCCGCCTGTTTACTCGACTTGTACATGTTTGTACACGTATGCGCTGGAGGTGACGATGGTCGCCGCTAAAAAGCTTTTCCTGCATTTGTATTAAATAAGTATTTATGATATTAAAATGTCTTTAAATAAAATTGTTGTGTATTGCATTAATAAATCGAACAATGAACATAAAACTACAATACGTAAAAAATTTGGAACTTAAATTACAAACTCAATAACACTGACTGAAACAGCCTTGAAGTGATATTTATTTACTATATGTATAAATAAATTTATTAGTTGGGGTCGTATTCTTCAACTTTGTTGTTGTCATTCCATTGTTCTTCGTTGTTGTTGAAGTTAGAATTAAGGCGTCGAGTTGGTAATGATGTTATCATTCTCTGTTGGATATTATTTGGGGTTTATTGATATCTATAAGGAGAGCTTTTCAATTTTTAGATGTTTTGTGTCGGTGTTTTGATAAATTATTTTTGTGTTGTTGTTGTTAAGAATGTGGCGGATCATTGGAGTTGCATGTGTTGATTGCAGGTGAGATTTGATGGCTACTCTTTGTGTATGCATTGTGAGACGTCTTGATAGTGAAGTGGTCGTAAAACCACTATACGAATGTTGTTGACGCGCACAGTCGTCAATAGGGCATTTAAATTCATATATTGCACGATTACGCTTCAATGTAGAATCGTCTTTAGGAGTGCAGTTGTTCTTTAGGACCAATTTTGAGGTCTTACAATTATTGTAGTATATCCTGAGTTTTATTTTATTAGTGTCCTTGATTGGTGTAACTTATCTTTTTTTGATTTGTTTGAGAACGATTTCGTCTATTTCATGTGCCGTTGACATATGATTTTGGTAATATAGGATTATGTCGTTGTCATTGGAAAAACGATTGGAATTGAAAAACTGATGGTGCTAATAAATACAGATATATATATATATATATATATATATATATATATATATATATATATATACATATATATTATCAACAATTTATTAAGCGCATTATAAAATTAAAATTTCTCGAGAGCGCTATCTATTATAAATGAAATCAGTGAAGGTCAATAAAGTACAAATCAATAAAATATTTTTATGTCAAAAATAAATATGTTATTAAGTTTTTATTAAAATCATCAAGCTTTAGTCCAGGCATTCTGAGCGATCGCGGAAGACTGTTCCAGGCAATTGGTCCTGCCACGGCAATATTTCTAGTTGCAGTTTGTAGTTGGGTGGTTGTCACTGCCAGTAGATTGGCATAGTCTGATCTCAATTTTACACCTGTTGAAGAAGCTGGTTTTTTAAGATTTTATTTACTAGATATACTGGTAACAACCCGTTCATAGCCTTATACATAGTGTCGGATTGAAAATCCTAACGATTAAAAAGACTAATAAATAAAACACCACGAAATAAGGAGTTGATTTGTGCGGGCTTTATAAAAAACTGCGATAACTATTCTGATAGGTATTCGGGCTGCTGATGAGTCCCCGGTAGGGACGAAACACGTGTCCAGCCTATCCAAACGAATACTATTCTTTTCTTCTCCCGCTCACTGCTCTTCTGGTTCGGTGTTCTCATCATCAAACGCAACCGCAACAATAGTCACACAAATCTTATAGTTGATTCTTTTTTTCACTGTTAGCCAAAGTAGGTCTCTTAAAATGGGTGTCACATGGTCATACTTTCTACGTCCAGCAGTTATTTTTGCAGCTCTATTCTGTATCGATTGAAAAAAAAACAATAGATCTCTCTGATAATCCATGGAACAAGCTATTACAGTAGTCTAACCATGAATGAACAAACGCATGAATTAGTGTCTGCATGGTTGTTTGATGCAAAGATTTTCGAACGCGGTATAACTGGTAAAAACATGATTTGGATATGGTTTTTATATGATCTTTGAAAGATTATCTCGAGTCAAAAATACACCCTAGGTTTGTTGCATTTTCACAGAATTGTATTTCATAATTATCAATTTTGACTGAATTAATATTAATTTTAGAAAGCTGTTGCCATGTGCCGACAGGTAAAAATTTAGTTTTTTCTTGATTCAACTTGAGACAAATTCTCGACATCCATGTACCTATTTTAGTCAAGCATTTAATGAAATTTTCAACTTTACTTTCAAACAGTTCTGGTTCACTGCTAAATATTATTTAGATGTCATCAGCGTACACATGATATGAAAATCCGAAAGACTCTATTACTTCATATACTTCAGCAGTGTACAGTACAAACAGAATAGGTCCCAGGACTGAGCCTTGTGGTACACCAGATGACATTGCTTCAATACCAGATAATTTGTTCCCGAAAAAAACCTGTTGAGTTCTGCCAAACAAGTACGAATTGAACTAATTAGCTACAACTCCAGTAACTCCGTAATCATATTGTAGGCGATTCATCAGGATTTGATGGTCTACGCAATCGAAGGCAGCACTCATGTCCAAGAATGTAAGCAACGAAACATATTGTTTATCAATTGCCTTAAACAACTCAGACATAACATACAGCAGTGCTGTTTCAGTTGAGTGATAACGTTTATATCCAGATTGAAATACTGGTATTAAGCTATTTTTGTGTAGATGACTCAGTAGCTGACTGGCAACAACTCGTTCAATAACTTTAGAAACAAAGCAAATGTTTTATATGGGTCTGTAACATTTTATTTCATTCCTATCATTTTTCGTTTTCTTCAAGACAGGTGTAATAACTGCGTGCTTACATTTATTTGGAAATACTCCCTCTTACAAACATAAGTTAACGTGGCTTGCAAGAAAAACAATAAAAATATCTATATGTTTTTTAAGCACATGAGTCGGAAAAGCATCTAACATACAGGTTTTGGCCGGTAGATCAAACACAATTTTCTTTATGTCTAGTTCCTCAACGACGGCAAAATTTGTGAGCAGAAAATTTTCGGTAAACCTACTTTCTGTCAAAAGTAAGTTTTTCATTAATACTAATAGTATGCTTGATCCGATCGGTCTTTTCTTGAAAAAAAAACCCATAAATTGAGAAGCGGTGATGTCAACATTATCATATCGACATGTCACATATATATATATATATATATATATATATATATATATATATATATATATATATATATATATATATATATATATATATATATATATATATATATATATATATATATATATATATATATATATATATATATATATATATATATATATATATATATATATATATATATATATATATGCGTTTTTATATGCCGTTATGTTATCGTATGCATGAGGTGTTTGGATGTTGTCGTCATGTAGGCTACTTACGAGAACAAGTGATGCTGTCTTGGTACAAAATAATGTTAAGAAACAAATGAATAAACAAATAAATAGCAAATGACATGTCACACACACATACACACACACATATATATATATATATGTGTGTATATATATATATATATATATATATATATATATATATATATATATCCAGTAACTCCGTAATCATATTGTAGGCGATTCATCAGGATTTAATAGTCTACGCAATCGAAGGCAGCACTCATGTCCAAGAATGTAAGCTGAAATGAATGAACAGAAGAAAAAACAAATGAATGAACAATGAAGGATAAAATAAATGAACAAATTAACAAACATAAAAAAAACTTGCAAGAAGAGAATCTACCCCCTTCAAAGTGCTGGTTTACGGTTGGTTTAAACCGTAGCGAAGCAAATAGGCAGTACACGTACAGTTACATGATACAACTAACAAATACGCGTACAATCACATGAGCCGACCAATAAACACACGTACATTGGCATCTCGTAGCAACCACCGTAAACAGAACTCGACATAAACAATTATTTTTATTTATTAGCATCGTCATTGAATCTCATGCTTTCGTAATGACGCCAATGACTGTAGATATCAATTCTCACCAAGCGTCAAAACAATAAACGTCAAAGAAGCTGTTGAAAAGTACTAAATAACTTTAAAATATTGTTTTCATCTCTTCAAAATAATTAGATTTTACTGCTAGGATGCTTCCGTAAAATAAAAGTAATTTGACTCGCAACATTTTTATCACGAATAGTTATATTGTTGTAAAGTTTTAGCCTATTTAAAAATTTAAACATTTAAAGAACGCAGACAAAAATAAAATTTTTAGGTGTTTCATTTTGCAATGCAACACTTCTGTACCAATGCAACACTCCATCCTATATAAATGCATACAATCCTGAACAAATGCATACACTCCTGTACAAACGCATATATTCCATTGATATTATGTGGTATAAATCAAGTGTAGGCAAATAAGCTAAATGTTGAACATTCGTTTGGAAACAACAAAAGTTTTTTCTGTCTCAATATTAATTATGCTTATGATGCAGGTTTGTAAAAAATATTTGTCGTCAGAAATGCAATAATTGATAAAAATCACACCATGTTCTGCGTTAGTTGACTTTCAATTTAACTTTTCGATTTTTCCAACGGTTGATCGAAAATCATTTTCAAGTTTCTTTAGTTCAAAACCAAAATTTTTGTTTATTTTATGCATGATAGAACAGAAAAGCTATTTTCGGTATTCCTATATCATCTTCGGTGTATTTTCGGTATTCCTATAACAGCTTTTCTGTTCTGTCATGCATAAAATAAACAAAAATTTTGGTTTTGAACTAAAGACAATTTGAACACCAAAGGTGGTATAAGAATACCGAAAAAAGCTTTTCTGTACAATTTTTACAATATTCTACCGAATGTTTGGCGTTATTATGTTTGTAGTTCGTTTTTTCGATTTTTCTCACTAAAATTTTTTGGAGAACGTTTAGTTTATTAAAATTCAAAATAAACTTATTTTTTGACTTCATGCTGCAAATAAGGCCATATTTCGATTCCGAATGAATCATCATCAGTGCAAGTTGATTTATATAGGGCAATATTTACTTCGTGAAAATGAACTTAGATGGAAATTAGGTGTCAGATTTCTTTACTGGCTGGTCCATCCTTGATGGTTTTCTTTTCTTCATCAATAGCATCGTTTTCTTCTTTGTCATTATTTACAATGCTAGTTTTTATTACTTTTTTGTTTTCATTGTTGATTAAGCGCCGGGTTAGGAGTGAGGTTGTCATTTTTTGTTGTATATTTATTTTTGGTTTATTGATGTCAATTAGGACTGCTTCTGCAATTTTAAAATGCGTGTAGTTGGTGTTCTGGTATATTACTTTGATGTTGCTGTCGAGGATTTCACGGCTTATAGTGATAGAGTGTGTTGAGTCCAAATAATATAATATATATATATATATATATATATATATCCTTGATCCATTTTCTTGTTATTTATGTATGTATGTATATAAATGTGTATTAATTTTCATATTGGTGGCCTGTAGACCAAAATGTTATTTAAAATTTTTTTCTTTTGTGTTAATTCTGGTTAATAAAAGATATTTGATTTGATATAAATATTTGATTAAGACTGTTAAAAAAACAATTAATGATTAAAAACACAGCACGTTCCGCGTTAGTTAGCATCCTGTTTAATTTTTCTAACCGAAGATTGTAAATCAGATTAAAAATTATAAAATTTAATTTATAAAAAAAATTTAAAAAATTTTTTTAAATCCGCCACTGCTCTCACTATCATAATTGCCAAACATGCTTAAATGTTCTGACATGGTTAAAACAAATAAAAAGTGCTTATATTTTGCATTTTCCTGTCCGTTTATTATATCTTCGTTTTGTTTATTTTCGGACAGAAATTTGGTCATAAGCGAAAAAGCGAAAAAAAAAACTCGTCAGTCTAATTTTGGTCACACTAGCAAACATTTGGTGAATTCATTAGTAAAATTTCAAAAAATTTCAACTTATTCAAATTTTGGCACCGTGTTAATGTTATCAAAATCAGCCCCTGCTCATTATCATACATGCCAAACCACAGACACTACGGACAATAAGAGTAAGTTATGTAAAATTGTTTAAAAAACAAAAAAATTTAGAGAATATAAAACTGAGAACAATTCTTACATGTACGCGTGCAACTGCACTGCTGTACTTGGAGATAACAAAATGAAAAAATGACTGACATGCATGCCAGGGAATGCATTGGAAAAACACATCAAAACGATTTACATTTAGCAATTTCGAATGTTTAAATATTTAGTAGAGAAAAATTTGGTTGTATCTACATCATATCCTTAATGTTGATATTGCAGTATCTACAATATATCATTAACTTCAATGTTTATTCTAATTTCATATTAACAAACCAAATAGGTTGCTTTACAAATTTTTAATTATTTTTATTGGTACCTCTATCGTATTTTAACAATTGTGTTATAAAAGAATAAATAATGTTTTAAGTCAAGAAAGAGTTTCTATGCCGACAAACATACGAAACAAAATTTATTCTCACATTTATCGAGATTAGAAATGCCAATATCTTTCAAGAAACTACACACATCGAAAGCAGGAGAGTAGTGCCGCTCTGTATGAAGTAAGTGCTTGCTGAAGAGAAGACGACAACGTCTAATGTATCACTCTGCCATCAATCATGTTCCATTATGCGTCTGTAACTAAAATGGAAGTATCATTGAGAAGCTTGCAGCACGAATGCTTGCACACTTTCAAAAAATCCTCTCAAAAGTTTTTAATTTCCACTACGAGTAGACGTCATCCATTGTTGTCAAAATTATTTCAAATGATGATTAAATGATAATCCGATTTAATATTGACATTGTGATACGAAGATGGAAACGACGTAATGAAGAAGACATGAAGTGATGAAAATTATGAGGATGAAGATGATGATGAGAATGAAGATGATGATGAGGAAGATGATGAGAATGAAGATGATGATGATAAGGAAGATGAGGAGGATGAAAATGATGAGGAGGATGAAGATGATGATGAGGTTGATGAGGATGAAGATAATGAAGATGATGACGAGGAGTAGGAGAAGGCTAGAAAAACAGCTCGGAGTTGTTATAAAATGATGTAAATGACGTAAGCCACGACAATAATTATGAACTGTAAAACTAAGAAATGTTTCTATATAAACGCTGGTGGTGACTAAAATCGAAATAGGACCATATACGCTTCACCAAGAACACCCACTGTTTTTTTATTTATTTTAATAAATTGGATAATAATTACAAAATTACTGTTAAAAACATTGAAAAGCTCAACCGTAAACTTTCAAAAGCTAAAAATTCGGAAGATTTTATCAAATACCGTATCAATTATGGCCTCCTTCCAGTCCATATATAAATACATATTTATATTCAACAACATCAACAACACCAACAACAACATCAACAACAACATCAACAATAACAACAACAGTGCCAACACTGCCAACCCACAGCGCAAATATCAGTTGCAATTGGAACATCATCAATAGTGACAACCCTAACAACAACATCAACAACACCAACAACAACAACAGCATCAACAATAACAACAACAACAACAACAGTGCCAACACTGTAGATACCAACGCCAAAACCCACAGCGCAAATATCACTTGCAAATGGAACATCATCACAAGAAGCGAGAAGAACCACAGCGATGATAATAATAATAACGTTAACAATAATAATAATAATAACGTTTTTGAATATTGTAAAAATAATATTAATAATATGTAGTTAATTAAATAAATTAATTCGCGCTTCTCGGCTGAGCGTTGATATTTACCTTAACAACCATAATTTAAACAATCTTGCCGTTAAAATTTTAAAAATCGCGTTTTATATTGTTTTTAGTTATTAAATTTATTTTCTTGGTTTTCTGTTTTAATTAAATAATTTATATAAATTAATAATTACTTGTTCCTTCTTATCAAATATCTTACATACCTTATATATAATGCACTGGAGATGAGTTATCTATAACTCGAAATAGCTTTAAATAGCTGCAAATTTATTTAATAAAATTTAAAAAAAAAAACAATAAAATGTCTAATTTCTCTGAAATTAATAAATTAAAAAGAAATATAAAAAAGTTGAACAATGTTGAAAATAGTGTTGAATTTTTGAAATGTTGCGTTAACAACAGTCTGTTACCAAAACACACACACACACACACACACACACATATATATATATATATATATCATATATATAACATACAAACATCATTATATATATATATTTTTATTTGAACATTTGTAGATCGCCAGTTATAATATTGGATACTTTCACAGGCACAATATAAAGGAAAAATATAAATAACATTAATTAAATGTCAACCAATTTTAATACAAATCAAAAATGTAATCTTAACTAAACTTAAATAAATGCATATAATTTTGCTATTTCCTTCCGTTTCAGGTTGTTGATGACTCGACATCACTTGGTGGATTGTTGCTGCTGCCGGTTTCCACTCCCTTATACAAACTAACTCTGGCCAAAAACTTTCACTAAAGATCAAATCAGAAAATTTGCTGACAACGAAAAGACGAAATGAAGTTGATGATTGATCTTCGTCTGCCATTATCTTCACGATATGCGAAACAATAAAAAACGGGTAATTTCTCGCCAAGATCGTTCTCAGACGCAGCACATTTCTTCACACTGCTGATATGATAAAAATTTATTCGTCTTTTTATTTTATTTGCCGATACTTTGGACTCTTTTGCTCAACGTGAGCCGACAACGACGTTTGGGAATGTCATTCGAACGTTTTTCAAAGAAACGACTAGAGTAAAATCATCCGTTTCAACTTCATGATGTTTTTGCAACATCGTTAAATGTAGAAATTTGTTTCACGTTATCTGTAACATCATTTGAAATGTTCGCTGGTCGTAATTTTTGAATCCTGCCCGTGTGAATTTATTTTGTTGCTGGAATTTTTTGTTCTTGGCACTTTTTCTTATGTCGTCCAAAGCCTCGCCATGCTCTCGAGACAAAATCCGTCTTAATATCATTTAAATTACTTCTAATTGTATTTTTGAACTGCGTTTCACATCTCAAAATTCCAGAATAATAATCAGAACAAACAAATGTCAAACATTTTCTCAAAATCTTCATCGAAAATGCATTAAACTATGTTTATAGTTCGCTAAATCCCTGATTTTTATTATCACTCGCAGATTTCTGACAACAGCTGGCCTCTTGCATGAGTATATTTCTGCTTGCTTGCATATCCTATAGTCTAAAATTTTCACTAACAACGTTTGCTAACTCAACGCTATCTAACTCGTCCTAATTAAATTACAAATAGCGCATCAAAAAGTTTATCATTCAAAAGATTTTTAGCCATTTTGTATCTCTCGACGTCTTCAACACGATGATAGCAAAATGTCATCAACTAATGGTGACGACGATGATGATGAAAAACAAAAACGATTGCATTGTACATTTTTCAAAATATTTCAAAATTTAAAAAAGGGGCGAAGCGAAGTTTTTAACAACGTTAATGCTTCGAATTGACTTCTCACATCTTCCTATCCTCTCTGGAAATAATTTAATTCTACTATTATTAATAATACGGGTTTATATTTGGCCTACATCAAAATAGTATTTGTGCTCGCCTACTTTTATTCACATAACATAAACTTCCAACATTTTTTTCTTACTTTCACGAACTTTTAACATGCCAACGTGAAATCTTTCAACATCACGGCGCACAAAACTAAAACGCCTGTTTTACGGAACTTAGTACAAATACATTTGTGAAGAGGACGGCCAGCATTGATGCTTCAAAGATAGTCTGCTGTTGCCGTCTTTACTGCTGTCGGAGAAGGTCATATTAATTAGTTAATTAATTAATTCATTCATTCATTCATTCTTTCAATCATTTGCCCCCATCGCAATGATCCTCAGCTGTTCAACGATTTTATTTTCAACTTTTGTTCCAACTTCAAGAATGAATTAATGTTTCCGTGCTCGGTTTAAAAGTTGCCAAATTCACATGAGTAATTGTGCGAAAGGTTTAGTCAAGCAAGATTGATCGTGGCGTAAGAGATATATGTTCACAAAGATTAGAATCATACCACGTAGCGTGGTGATGACGACGATGAGGAGGATGCATGTTATGGTAATAAGGACCAGGACCAAATTTGGAAGTCTGGAGGGTCCAATGGGAGAAAAAAATAAAAACTGTTCGGTGAAGTCTTTCAAAAGTGTGTTGCCATGAACAAAATTACTTCAACAAACAATGTTGAATTGTTTTTCTGTCAAAGACATTTTATCACAAATTTAAAAGCCACCTCAGCGATTGGGTCGATGTTAATGCTCTGCTTGTGTAAGTTATGTCGCAGGGAAAGCTGAAGACGTTTGGACAAGGAGACTGTGAAAGTTTAAACAACATTGGTACTGGTGATGATGGATGTGTGTGTGATGATGATGATGTAATGACTTTAATAATAATAATGATGATGAATATGATAATGTTAGAATAAGCATTCATTATGATTCAATAAATGATGACGGTAGTGGAGATGATGATGATAGTGGAGATGATGATGATGATAATGATGATGATAAGGCGGAAAAAAGAAAAAAAAAAGAAAAATGATGAAAATTTTTAAAGTGAAATTAATGAGAAGTACAAAGATTGTTGACAGTCAGGCGGGAAGGAGGCAGATAAATTTTGACAAACGCTTTCATGACGGCGGCATGCACGCCAATACGAACGCGCGAGTACAATGCCAAGCAAAACATGCTGATGCAATAAGCCAACATCTTGCATTATAAAACATCAAATGAGCTTAATTGTAAATAGTAATGACGATCCAAACTATCCTATAAACGTAACTGGCATATTGTATCTAAATATCAGTTTTAAAAACTGCCGCGTGTACGAAGAAGAGGCCATCCTAGGTTTGTTGCACCAACCACTGCACGTACATGCACTGCCCGCACGCACACTTCCTCTATAGCACTGGCTCGAATGATAACACTGATTCTAATAATGATAACACTGATTTCATATATAATAATTAAACCTAAACGCCCGGTTTACGGTCGTCTTCTCACTTCTTCTTAACTCGTGTTAAACACTTTTATGCTAAATCTAAGCTTTCTTTTTCTGTAGTTCTTTTTTTCTGGCACTCTCTACCTCTTTCTCTGACTACTTCTCTATTACTTGCAAAGTTTTGAGCGGATCTCAAGACCCATCTGTTTAAAAAATATCATTTAGGAGCACCGTTGAACATTGCCAGAAATGTCGCTTTACAAGATGATTGATTGGTTGGTTGGTTGTTTGAATGATTTTAAAAATCATGTTTTGGCGTGCTGAGAAGTAAAAAATTGAATTATCAAAACCGCTACGCATCAGGTTCTGTTAGAACTTCGTTTTGTTAAATTGAAGAATTGGGATTTTTTTAATAAAAATTTTAAAAATAAAAACAATTAAGAAATATTTTATTAATTTTTTGCATTTCGTAGTAATTTTTTCTCTTTTCAGAGTTTGATCATTTTAAAATAAAAAGAATAAAAATGACAAAAATAATGAAAATGATTGAGGTGACAGACAAGAAGACGGACTGTAAGAGGTAGGAGTCAGCACGATGTTGCCATGCGGGCAATGAAAACGCAGATGAAAGCAATTACTTGGCTTCATGTGACTTTGATGGAGGATTGGGTAGTGAGGAAAACGTAGAGGGTGAGATAATGATAAAAAGATGAGGATGAGAAGAAAGAAGGTGAGAGGATAATAAGGTGAGTGGCTGCCGAAACAACAACCCGCCAATTAAATTAATACCGCAATAATTGCAAAGTTAAAATGAAACAACGTTGCTGGCCTGCCTGGCCTGATGATCGTAAAAATAATAGAAGCACGTGTATCAAATTTCTTATGATCGTATAATAATATTAATAATAACAATGATAATAATATTATTAATGTCATTTGTGCAGCGCCCTATGCATAGCGTCAGAGGCGCCCGGATGAACAAATGTCAGCACGGCCACCAAAGACCTGTTCGAACAGATGCTGCTTCAATCGCTTCTTGAACATTTTATATTTTATGACCATCATGTGTATTTACATTAATAATATCTATATTAATGACAACATATTTACATTAACAATAATAATAGAAATAATATTAATATTAAACAAACATATGTGTAATAGAGTAATGCTATGAAGAACGAATGTTCTTTTCGAGCAAGATATTGCAGTTTTTTTTATTTTTTAGTAGCGCATACAAAGGCGGTCCTGTGAGTTGTTGCAAACGGAATAACCGAAGTAATGCAAATTTCGCATGGTCGTAACGAATAATTGCATGATTAGAGCTGAATGTGTTTTCATGAACCTCTAAAAATATTTTTAATATTCCACGCCATTCACGATTTGGAAACGCCAGAAATAACCAAATTACAAATAAAACGAAAATAGCCTGTCAAGAACGTTCCATTGCCGCATTTCAAGAAAGTTGAGGCACAAAATTTTATACAGTGGCGACAACTTTAAAAAGACATGTTTTCAAGTACTCGCAGAAACTTTCTTTTACATACCAAAACCTTCAATAAAGACTTTTGAAAAACATTAAAAAATGTAGACAACATGCAAATGAACCTTTTTTGTTCTCACAATATATTTATCACAACAAAATAAAATTATGATAATAAGAATCTCTAGTCATTAAAATGTTCACTAAATGACCAAATGTGTTTTTTATTTGATGTAATTTTTTTCAATTTTGCCAATGATTTTGTGAAATTATTTATCTATTCCATTGATATATTTCAATTTCAAAAACTATAAAAGTGCCATTCATTTTGATGCATTCATTGGTTGAAAGGACTTACAAAAAAGCTCACTTGAAATTGTTTGAATCTTTTATATCTTTTAATATAATATTATTTTAATGCGATTGTTCAATTTTGCAGGACTTGATGCTTTATCATCTAAAAATAATAATACGTAAAAAAGTTTACAAGTCAAACACTACTACTGCCTTAAAAAAGACTTGGGCATTATTTGAAGGAAGGTCTTCACCTAGATAGGAAAAGTGCCGGCTCAACGTATTTTGCTACCCGAAGCAAGATTCCAATTTGCCGCCTTAACTAAAAAGCCCAAATGTATTAAAAAATACCTTAAAGTAAAACTAAGAGTGACGTACAAAAACGTATATTTGCTAAACAATTAATTCAAACAGTGCAAACACAAAAAGCAAGCAAAAAACATACAAAATGGGCATATTTTAACATGATTTAGTGAAAGGAGTATACTTTTCTACTCTTTTCAAATGTAGGGTTCTTACACAGACCATAGTCTTCTGAACCACTTTAAGCCCCGTTAATAATAATAATAATAATAATAAAGTCTTCAATAATTCAGTAAAATCCAATCTTATAAGAAAGTGCCTCTAGCCTTGTGCCTAGAGTCGGCACTTGATAGGACCACCATCTTGATCAAGCACAGAGTTTCAAATACGACAAGGATGGTTAAATATAGAATAAAGTTTGATTCTTGATTTACAGTTGTTGTTAAATAAATTATAAAAAATTATGAAATGAAATTTGCCACAATCTACTAAAACAAAACAACAGTCTGCGTGGCTAAATTCATTACAGATTTATTACAAACTAAAACATATTAAAGCGCATGATGCTAAGCCAGATGCATTTGAAATTTTTATTTCGTGGCAACACAAGAGATGATTTTGTTCACTTTTTGAAAATCGCTGCCCTACGTAACAAGAAAATCCTAAAATAAATAATCTTAAAAATTTAAATGTCTATGCATAAACAAATTTAATTTTAACAACATTCTTTTAATTTTAATGTTTTTTTAAATAAATGTTTACAAAAATTTTATGTAGAAAAATGTGTTAGATAATGAGTCACCCGTTACACTCATTAACATAATTATAAATCCTTTACCCTTCTTAGAACATTATTCAAATAGAACATTTAGAAAATTTTTGAAAATAAATAATTTAAAAGACATTTGTTTGTTATTGTATACTGAAATAATGCCCAAGTGGCGAGATGGTTTCATTATTTCAAGTGCACGCACATCACTACTGACTGTGTAAACAAACTATCGTGCGATGGCGAGGATAATCATGTTGACGTTGATGGGGGTGGCAATCACAATACGATGAGTAATGGTAATGATGTTATTAGTAGAGCAGAAGTCGGTTAATCGGTCCAGTCACTTATTAGGACCAAATGTTTGTAACGTAATCGAATCTTATTAAGTAAATTTCATTTAGCTTGATTAATCAGACCAAAAAGTACCTAGTTAAATAGCCAGCCAGCCACTTTATCGAATCGCAAAAACCTTTGCCCGCCGACAAGGAGATGCGCAGTTTTTCAACGTTCGACTTTGAGCCAAAAGTGATGTGAAGCCCTTCCGACGTTGGATCTAGCCAACTCTGACGGGAGGCCAAACAAAGGGCAGATTTTATGAGAGGTAGCTTAATTTGGTTGACGACATTTTGTCAATTTTTCTATTTAAACGGTGCTTTTGTATACAAACGCTGTTTTAATGTACAACAAGTAATATATTTTAAGCAAATTAAAACAAAATAGTTGTTGACTTTTGATAACGGAGAAGTGACCCCTCTAAATCTGCCACTGAGTCCTACTATGATTGTCCACATTTTGTTATGTGAAGTTCACTTGTGCGACAGTGCATTGCATGTGTGTTGTGTTTTAACCACTATAATGTCTAAAAAAGTTTATCCCGAAAAAAAATTCTATTTTTACGCAACTGACGCGAAAAAACAATGACATTAATGACTTAACATTGAAAAAACTGTTAATCTGATTGAAACATTCTTCACGTTAATTTTATATACATGTCTCAAGTACGTTTGTACTCTTCATTTATTGCTGAAAAATGTACTTTTCCTATTAAATAATTGAACGAGGCTATTTTTAACTGCGTTTTCGACCTAATTGTTCCTAGGGTAATAAATATTATAGCGTTAAATTTTTGGTTCAAAATAACATGCTATGAGGTGCAAAATGTTAATGGAACCAGTTGTATCAACTGATTACTTTGATCAAATTGCGAGGTGGTCCGATTAACCGCATCTATCATATTTGAGAACGGAAAATGAAAAGGCATAACGAATCGACGATCGTAACAATGACTCAAAACGTTACAAACGCAGAATAATTATTGTGGTTTATTAGTAATTAAATGACAATCTTTTGTACTATTAAACCTATCTGCTTTTCTTCTCAGATTCACATTATTTCTGTTCAATGCAGAATAGAATATTAGAATATAATTAAGGAACATCCGGAACATCTTCGAATTTGATTAAAAAATATTACAAATCATCCACTTACATCTACTACGCATGGATTTATGTTCCTGACAGCAAAAATTCTTTGTTATAATTTATTGGGAGAGGAATGACCTCTCATGTTGCTACAGCAATTCTTTCTTTAAATTTTTTATTGTTGCGCAATACATAGATTTTAATTAATTATAATTAAATTTTTGCCAAAAACAATGTAAAAAATAATGTTTTATGGTTTATTTTCCTTTTTTTTTCCATGTATATATTTATTTAATAATTTGTTATGAAATTTTTTTACATTGTTATTTGCGTTGGCGGATCAAGGATTCTATGGTGTGGAGATGAGCTCTGAGGTTGACGACTTTTGCTTGTTTCTTATTTTTAAATTAATTAAATATATAAAAGCAGAGGAGTTGTTGTATTAAATATAACTCACTAAAATTGTTTGGGTTTGATGGAAGGGGATGAAGGCTCGTCCTTCTCTCCGTTACACTGTTGAATTCGAAAATAGTGTTTCAGATTTTTAAATATTTTCTTTTTCCATGGCTTTGTATGCTTCTCTGAATTCGCCATTGGTTATATACAAAATGATAATGCAAGAGCATTTTCCACCAATACAGTTATCCATAAATGCAACTCCTTGTGTACGAAACATAAAAACTTTAAAACCACCTGAAGTTTCCAAATTTGATCAGACGGGTAAGGTTGTTTTCAACTTTCAGATCGGAGGGACTTTAAAAGTTTTTATTATAAGAATTATAACATCATTAATATCGTTATTTTTATCATAATAATCATCGTCATCCTCTTTTTCATTTTTTTCTTCATCCTAATTATCCTCATCGTTACCACGGTATGATTGATTTGGATGATGTCTCATAAAGTGAGAGAAAACCAGCCAGCAGTTAAACATCGTTAAAAATTCTGTGGCGGAGGAAAATTGGAACACATTTAAAATTAGGCCCGAAATTAAAAAAATGCAGCAAAGGGTTTTGCAATTAAAATCAAATCAAAATGGTTTGAAATTGAGATTTTATGAAGAAACATAAGCTTCCATGAGCAAACACACGATTGTACGAACATACATGCGATTATATGATGAACACGCATACAGTTGTATAAACAAGCATTCGATGTACGAACTGTCAAACCAAAAATGCGTCAACGCTGAAACAAGGCTCATTGTGTACAAATTGTACAAATTCACACTCCCCATTGAAGGCTTAGCATCGTACATTGATGCCAGCACAAGAGATCTTTCTCGCTGGCTGACTGCATAAGAGAGTGGAACGATGAAGGAACCAAACTCAACAACAACACAACAATCACCAAAAATTTATTATTCAACAACACGTCAGTCATTTTTGGCAACCAACAATATACAAACTTCCCGAATGCAGAAGCCACTTTAATTGAAACTCTTAAGACCGGCAACAAACAACGAACTACGAGCTAGACTGTACTTGCCACACGCAGGCTTCTCAACAACTACACATGCCACAACAGTAATAACAATAATTGCGTTAACAATAACTATGATATTCGATATAACAATAATAACAAAAATTATCAACGTTTAATTCTCATAAAACAAACAAAGAATTAACATTGTAGAAACACAGTATATATATATTTCAGTACTATGGCCTCATACACGACGTATCAATTCGAACACCGAATATGGAATAGTAATACCGACAAAAGCTTTTTGTTCTATCATACTTAAATGTTCTATCATGCTTAAAATAAATAAAAATTTTGGAAAACACCGTTAGAAAAATCGAAAAATTGAATAGAAAGATACCTAACGCGGAACATACTGTGATTCTCATTAATAATATATATATATATATATATATATATATATATATATATATATATATATTCATCAACAATATATATATATAATATATTATAATATATATAATATATTATAATGATATCATAATATTAAAAATAAAATTGAACCAGAAACGGATCAAAGCTTAGATTGCAATTCAGAGATTATTCTTTACAGTTGTATTTACGACAGTCTTACATATATATATATAAATGTGTGTGTATGTATATATAAGATTTAAAGCATATCTAATTTAGTTTTACCAGATATGCTTTATTCTTAAGATATATAAAGCATATCTGATAAAAGTTAAATAATAGCATTTTATAACCTTTGCATTATTAAAGAGAGAATAATGTCTGAACATACCGTGTACGTACGTACTTAGGTATGTACGAACGCATGAATCTACGTTCGTACATACTACATACGACCAACATATGAGACAATGAGCGTAAATGCGTGCACTTTAATATTGGCGTTTGTATGAATGTAGCAATTGGTGTGTACGAGGCACAAAAGCTGCAAATGCATAAACAGACTTGATGACAAACCAACCAACCTGGCATGGAGAAGGTTGCATCATCGCTGGAGTTGTTTTCGTACCGGTGTTGATGTTTTCCGGCTTGTTGGTTGTAGGTTGGGTAATATGTGGCTCAACATTACACAACTTCTCTTGTTATGTTCTTCAAAAATGCCAACAGACATTTATGAACAAATTTTAAATATAATCCGCTCGTTAAACAAAAAAAATTCATTTAACTTTTTTGTAGCAATTCAACATTAAAATGGAACACTAAACATTAAACATTCAAATGCTTATAAGTTGAAAAAGTTTTAAGGTTATGTGCAATATTTTGAAATTATTATTATTACAAAAATTACAGAAATTGTATGAGTTAATGTAATGAAAAAAAAACCAATTCTTTGCAGCGTTCAGCAACTATATCCTAAAAAATTCATTAGAAACAGCACTGATGACAATTCTATTTCTTAATATTTATAATAAATTTTTTTACGCTAAGTGTTATCACAACGTAGGTATTGATATTGACGGTAACTGTTAATTAAGTTTTTTAACGTTTTTTGTCTTAAAACAAATCATCTACGTTGATAACTGTAATTGTTAATTATGGACGCGATCGATGGCTCAGATGTGAATGAATAGTAACAAAACGTTCTCAAATGTGTAAGTGTGTGTGTGTGGCCATTCAAGGTATTCAACATCACAGTTCTTCAACTATTCACTCCTGTGCAAAACTATGTACACATGTGTATATATACATGGATTATATGTATATACATAATGTATGTATGTTATATATACATACATACGCACGTATGTTTGTGCATCCGTACATAAACATGTATTGTATATATACAAATGTACAGTATATGCATGCAGGCATATCATACCGTACATACTGTACTTCATGGCTCTGTTCCTCCGTGCTTTCGAAAAAGCCTTGCATCGTAATGAGGTCTGTGTAATATTTTCTTAAAATTAGTTGCTATTCAAATCGATTTTTCTATTAAACTGGAACCATTCTGCATTCTGATGTGACGTCATCGATTTTTTATTCCTTTTTTGTGATCTCTTCTCAGTTACACTATATAAAGTTAAAATCTCAAACGAAGACAATAAATAATAACTTTTAGAGTCATCGAGTGATTGACAACTTTTATAATTTTTTCGACTATTCTTATGTTAGAGATGTTAAACTTACATAGCAAGAAAAACAAAATGAACAAGTCACGGTATTCTATTAATTTTTGTTTTATTCTCCAAAGGTTGGTTTAATCTAACTGAGAGCAAGGCATTACATAGAGAACCTATACTGGCCCTTGAACGCATCCGTGATCATTTTTAATGTGCTCTAGGCTCTGTTGTCATTCTTCAATTTAAATATAACAGGGTTTATAGTAGTTTGGTAGACTAGTTCTGTGTGAGAAACATTGCCAATTAATTGTCCTAATATCCTGGTTCCCCAGGCTTGATCTGAAAACTGTTGGTAGACTACACGGAAACTATCTCGTCATTCAGCTCATTCCAAGTGTTTACCACCCGTCTGCTAAAAAAATCTTTGCTTGATTTGTTTGTCTTCTTAAAAAGCTTGTATCTATAAACTCGTAGTCCTCTTCTAGCTTCCAATTAAAAAATCTGGTAAATGGCGTATCCTCTTTTCCGGTAATCAATTTGTATGCATGTATCATATCCCCTCTGCTTCTTTTTCTTTTCTCTAGAGTAGTCAGTTCACATTCTCTCAATCTATCTTTGTAGTGAAGTTTTCTAAGACCTGTGACCATCATTGTTGCTATTTGCTGTAGCTTTTTAAGAAAGTCTATCTTTTTGCAAATTTGGACTCCATACCTTAACACAGTATTCCAGCTGGGGGGCGAACTAAAGTTTTATACAAATTTATAATTATCGTTTTCTTTCTGCTGTTTTTCTAATAAATCTAAATATTTGATTTGTTTTGGCCTCTATCTAGGCCATATTTCGATTCTG